CAGGTGCGACGAATTGAGTCCATTTTGTTAGTTCTCCAATGATGGCAGATACGGAAGCTATAGATGGCGTGGAGCCTTCTCGACTGAAGTATACTGCTGACGTTTCGAACTTAGTTGCGAGTCCGTAAATCTTCAATACGTGAAAACCAGGTGTGATTTTCGTTTCCACCTGGGTTGCTTTAGATAATACGCTTTTCCAGTATCCTGTTTTTCCCATCAAGTCTTGCAAAACGACTCCATCCAGAACGACCACAGCGCCATTACCAAGTCGGAAAGGTAATCCCAGGTACCACGACCAGCTTGTAGTGACAGGACTCGGCTCCACAAATTCAATCTGCAGCAGAAATCCCACATTTGTGTCCACCTGCTTGAATCTACCGCATAAATCACTTTGGGCATTCATTATGGATCCAAGGTCAGACAGCTCGCGCTCACAAAAGCCGTCACTCTCCACGGGTGCAGTAGCAGCATCGAAATCTTTTAGAAAAGTTGCGCCTTGTCCAGTTTTGTACGTGGTAGCTGAAACAGGTTTTGAGGCATACGATAGCTTTGCGTACGGACTTAGAGAAGCTTCAATGCACAGCATAATTATTCAGGTTGGTAGTAAATATGGTGCTTAAGGGTGAAAAACGTACTTGGGTAGTTGAGTCTGGATTCCAAAACGTTCTCAGTATAGTATCGCGAATCCTGCAATAAGTAAGAGCGGCATTGGCAAATCATTAGTCCCGTGAGTTGCTGTGTGAGTTAGGTGGTATACCGTTCTGTAGTTCACATGGGCCACTAGCACTCCTGAGCTTGGAGTCACCAGAGTCGCCGTTTTGTCTCCATCCAGATTGTCATACACGACCGAAGGAAGAACTGCAACGCAATTGCAGGATCCCTTTTAGAACAAGAATCCTTACTAGGGTGAAGGCTCACTCACATGAAACAAGCTCCACATTCGCATCTGTCGGGCGAGAGCTAGTGAAGGTGGTAAAGTTGGGTGGAGCGCAAACCCCCGGTCGAAAGACAAGAGCCCAGCCGACAAGGGTCCATTCGATTAGTCGGCGGTGATGCATGAAGCGCTTGATCGTCCTTTATGTTATCGATCAGAGTGACCCAAGAGAAAAAAAAAAGATCTCTCGATACGACCGGAATCAAAACTGCCTGGGAATGAAACTGTTTCGATGTCAACTCGCATAAGTAGACACAAGAGTGTTTAAAACTGGTTAAGTACCCGCCAAAACCAATCGAACTTACTTAAGTAGCCCCTAAAAAAAAGCTAAACGAAGCCTCTGAAAATGGGGGCCCGTTGTCCAATAAGAAGCGCAAAACAATCACTCCGCCAGCGAAGTAGACGGGCATAAAGATGCGTAAGAGTCGACCATGGGCCCCAGAAGCCTCTACAACGACCCCCTGAACTGGCTAAGAAGCCCAAGTCTGCCGTCGTACTAGCCACGGCCCTGGAAGGGGTAGGAACCTGACGGAGGAGCCAAGATGAAAAAAGTAAATGGTCGGGTAACGGGGTTGAAGATGCCCAAACATAATAATCGACCAACACGAGACGCTGGACACGCTCAGCGCCATAATATCACTGACATTCAAAAGCAGTTTCCAGACTCTG